TCCTTCCTTATTCACACAAGAACAGAAAGCACACAGTAGGGAAAAACCTTGCCAATGAAACGAGTGTGGCAAAGCCTTGAAGCATGGCTCACACTGCGCACTGTACATCAGATCATCCATTCCAGAGAGAAAAGGTAAAATGTGATTTATGCGGTGGGGTCATTAGTCAAAAATAAAACCTTGCATATCTCAGAGAGTTCATACTGGAGAGAAACCGTACGAATGTAACGAGTGTGGCAAGGTCTTTATCCACAGTTCACACTTCGCACAACATTAAAGAATTCATTCTTGAGATAATTCTTACAAGTGCCATATGGCGACTCTCTATCATGAGTTCAAGCATTGATCGACATCAGAGAGTCTTTACTAAGGAGAAATCATAGAACTGTAATGTGTGTGGCAGAGGCTTAATCCAGGTTTCATGACTCACTAGACATCCGTTTTTTTTTTATTTTATGAAATCACACAAATGTAATGTGTGTGCTGAGGCTATTATTCAAGGATCAAAACTGTAGAATGTCAGAGGATTCATCTGAGGAATAACTCAGTCTTTAGTTCTCCAAGTTTAACTTTTGACATCTCATACTGTAGAACAATGACAAGTCAAAATATGTTAAAACTCCTGACATGATATATCTCAAAAGTACCAATATGTGTGGAAATGGCCGGTTATCTTCAGGTCATAAAATACTTTATTCAGTTATTTGAGGTTTCTTGTAAAGGCTAATTTACCATTTATGACTTTCAGCCTGAACTTTGAAATACAAGGGTCTTATATGCAGAACATACAAGAAACTCAACTCAATAGCAAATGATGATAATAATAGCAATCTGATTAAAAATGGACAAAGAATCTGAATAGACAGGTCTCAAAAGAATATATAAAAAGAGCCGGGCTCGGTGACTCAGCCTGTAATCCCAGCACTATGGGAGGCTGAGGTGAGTGGATTGCCTGAGCCCGCAGGTTCGAGATCCGCCTGGGCAACTTGGCGAGACCTCATCTCTACACTAAATAAAAAATTAGCCGGAGATGGTAGCGCGCACCTGTAGTTCCAGCTACTTGGAAGGCTGAGGTGGAAGAATCGCCGGAGCCCAGCAGGTCGAGGCTGTGGTGGCCGGGAGCGTGCCACTGCACTCCAGTCTGGGCGACAGAGTGAGACTTCAACTAAAAAAAAAAAAGAAGAAAATATAAAAACAGCCAACAAGTGTATGAAAAAATGCTCACATGACTAATCATTAGGAAAATGCAAATCAAAACCACAGAGATAACGACTCACCCTGGTTAGAATGGCTAGCATCAAAAAGACAAAAAGTAGCACGTTACCAAGGATACAGAGAAAAGAGACCTCTAATACACTATAAATTAAACACTGTGTAAATTAGTACAGCCGTTATGGAAAATGGTATAGAAGTTTCTCAAAAAAATTAAAAATAGAACAACCATACAATCCAGCAGTCCCACTACTGGGTATTTATCCAAAGGAAAGGAAATCAGTATATCAAAAGGATACCCCCCTGCACATTTATTGCAGCTCTATTCATTATAGCCAATATATGGAATCAACCCGTGTCCATCACCGAATGGAAAAAGAAAGTGTATACACACTGGAATACTGTTCAGCCATAAAAAGAATGAAATCATTCAAGGCAACATAGGTGAGCCTGGAAGACATTATGGTAGGTAAAATAAGTCAAGCACAGAAAGATACATACTGCTTGTTCTCACTTATATGTGGGAGATTTAAAAAAAAAAGTGAGCTTATAGAAGTAGAGAATATAATTGTGGTTATTAGAGGCTGAGGAGGGTGGGGGAGGGGAGAATAGGGAGAGGTGGTTAACTTAAAAATTTGTAGCTATATGGGAGGGAAAAGTTCTAGTATTCTGTGCCACTGTAGGGTGACAGTAATTTAGTGTATTTTTTTTCAAAGAGTTAGACGAAAGGATTTAGAATGTTCACAACACAAAGAAACAATATGTTTGAGGTGCTAGATATGCTAATTACTCTGATTTGATCATTACATAATTGTATGCATGTATGGACTTATACCACTTTGTAGTTCATAAATACGAACAATTATTATGTATCAACTAAAAATAAAAAGAACTAAATAAATGATCTCATTAAAAAAGTTATATGAAAAATAATTGGAAAAGGCATGCATCAATTTATTAGCAGTGACTATGGCTAGGTGGCGAAATATGATTGATTTTTATTTTCTTTTTTTTGACTATTTTTGTGAAATACATATATTGCTTTCATACTGGGAAAAATAATAAAAGTATTAACATTTTTGAAATATATGTTCTCTTTTCAGTCGTTTTCAATGTATGTTTTAAACAGAGAAATAGAGGACTAGATATGGTTTTGATATTACTGAATCATATCACTTAGAAGAATACTTAGGATTTGCATTTAGTGCAATTGTAGGTTGATAATTCGAACTCTCGAACTTTGATTTGTTGAGGGGTCATGTGGGAATTGCAAAGACATGTTTTTCTACTTGGGATTGTGTAGTTGGCCTCTTATTCTTGGGAGAATTAGAGGCTGAGGAAATATTACTGTGAAGGGTGTGAGTGAGGGCAGGGCTGGACTCTGATCTGAATTGTGTGGACCAGGTCAGGGAGAGTAAGCGAAAGACATCCTGACTCTTTACTGCTAAAAACCCCAGGATACATCTTCTAAGAACATGAACGTAATGAAGACACCGTTACCATACCTAGAAAATTAATTTGGAGCCGGGATCGGTAGCTCAGCCTGTAATCCCATACCTTTGTGAGGCTGAGGTGAGTGGATTGTCTGAGCCCGCGGGTTCGAGACCCGCCTGGGCAGCGAGACCTTATCTCTACAATAAATAAAAAAATCAGCCAGGCGTGGTAGCGCTTGCCTGTAGTTCCAGCTACTCGGAAGGCTGAGGCGGAAGGATTGCCGGAGCCCAGCAGGTGGAGGCTGAGGTGGCCGGGAGCGGCCACTGCACTCCAGTCTGGGCAACAGAGTGAGACTCCAACTCAAAAAAAAAAAAAAGAAAATTAATTTGATTCAGTGATACTATCTCACATATAGTCTGAATTTAAATTTTTTCAGTTATCTTTAAAATATCTTTTAAAGATGTCTTCCCCCAACAGGATCTAGCTAAGTCTTAGAGATTGCATTTGGTTGTTTTCTCTCTTTCCTCTCAGTCTAGATTCTAGAAAAATTTTCCTGCATTTTGTTTTGTTTGCTTTTTGACATTGATTTATTTGAAGCATTCAGACCAGTTTGTCTTACATAATGTTCCACATTCTAAATTTGCATGATTGTTTCCTTATGACTAAATTCAGACTAAACAGGTGATGTATGTATCTACTTCTTATTCTGTCACTTCAGGAGACTTTTCATATCGCGTTGTCCAACTACTGAGGATTTTTGCTATTTTTTTCTTTTCTTTTTTTTTTTTGAGTTAGAATCTCACTCTGTCACCCAGTGTGGAGTACAGTGGTGTGATCATGGCCACTGAAGACTTAACCTGCTGGGCTCAGGCAATGCTTCCACCTCAGCCTTCCAAGTAGCCAGAACTACAGGCGTGTGCCACCACACCCAGCTAATTCTTTTGTTTTATTGTAGAGACGAGAGCTCACCAAGTTCTCAAGACTGGTCTCTAACCTCAGGCAGTCCTCTTGCCTCAGCCTCCCAAAGTGCAGGGATTACAGGGCTGAGCCACTGAGCCCAGCCAATTTTTGCTATTTTTTGAGGAATGAGAAACTTAATCCTACAGAAGAAAAGTCAAACCTATTAAATATTCCTTGTATTTTTACACCTTTCAAGAGCAAAAAGAAAATGCTTATTAAGAGAAAATATGCAAACAGGAAATAGCAAATGTTTCATGATCTACTGAGACTTTAAAATGTTTCTTTTAGCCAGGTGTGGTGGCTCACGCCTGTAATCCCAGCACTTTGGAAGGTGGAGGCAAGAGGATTGCCTGGGTCCAGGGGTTCAAGACCCGCCTGGGCAACTTGGTGAGACCTCGTCTCTACAATAAATCAAAAAAATTACCCAGGCGTGGTGGCGCATGCCTATAGTTCAGCTACTTGGAAGGCTGAGGCAGAGGATCACCTGAGCTCAGCAAGTCGAGGCTGTGGTGACCGTGAGCATGCCCCTGCACTCCAACCTGGGCAACAGAGTGAGACTCCTACTCAAATGAAAAATGAAAAATAAAAAATAAAATAAAATCCTTTTTTTTTCTTTAATAAGAGAAAACATAAATATTTGTTAAGCTCCCAATCTTTATCCTTGCTCTATTAGTTGCTACTGGAGTTGGATTCATATCAGCATAGGTAAATATATAAGGTAACTTTTTTTTTGGTGCCATTGCAAGGCCAAAATACCAGCTAACTTTTTTATTTTTCATCATCATAATCAGTTTTTAAAATCGAAGGTTGTCGCCAGGTTCGGAGGCTCAGCCTATAATCCCGCGCCATGGAAGGCTGAGGTGAGTGAATTGCCTAAGCCCCCTGGGCAACTTGGCGAGACCTCATCTCTACAATAAATCAAAAAATCAGCCAGGTGTGGTAGTGTGCTCCTGTAGTTCCAGCTACTCGGAAGGCTGAGGCTGAAGGATCTCCAGAGCCCTGCAGGTTGAGGCTGCAGTGGCCGGGAGCGGCTACTGCACTCCAGAGTCTGGGTGACAGAGTAAGACTCCAACTCAAAAAACAAACAAACAAAATAAAATTGAAGGTTGTATTCTTCCTGAGATCTAGGGGTATTATCTTAGAACAATTGAAGCTTACTAGTTGTGGAAACACAGGCTTCTGAATGCACTCTTTGTTTTGTTTTGTTTCTACACCTCTAGTTGGACTAACAGGAAATGCAGAGTGTTTTCTTGTGGGTGGTATGTGTCTCCTCTCGGTGGTTCCCAAGGACAGGAGCTTTTGGGGTCGTGCTGAGGCATCACATTACCTTGTTTGACTCATGAATTTTCCTGAAGAAAGTATGCAGTAATATGGAGATGTTGACTCTTTTTCAGGGCATCTTTTATGACCAAAACTGTGCCTTGTGGAAATGAGCTTCACAAGTTCCTCATCTGGGACACTGCTGGTCAGGAACGGGTGAGTATGCGCCGTCTTGGGCTTCCTCATGAAAACGCAGAGATCAGTTTCTGAAGGTTTCTTTGTATTAGGCAAGACTTCGTTGGTTGCAAGTGACAGAAAGCTAACTGGAAATGATTTTTGAAAAAAAGGAAATGTGCTTTTCAGCTGTGTGAAAAGTCTCAGGGGCTCCCGGTGAGACAGGGCTGAGTTCAAGTCCTCCAAATGATTGTTAGAGGCCCATCTCTATTTTTATGGCTTTCGATTTAGTGCAATTGACTGGACTCTTGATTGGCTTGATTTTTTTTTTTTTTTTTGAGTTGGAGTCTCACTCTGTGGCCCAGACTGGAGTGCAGTGGCCGCTCCTGGCCACCGCAGCCTCAACCTGCTGGGCTCTGGCGATCCTTCTGCCTCAGCCTTCCGAGTAGCCGGAATTACAGGCATGCGCTCCCATGCCCGGCTGATTTTTTTTATTTATTGTAGAGATGAGGTCTCGCTGCCCAGGCAGGTCTCGAACCCCTGGGCTCAGGCAATCCATTCACCTCAGCCTCCCAAAGGCACGGGATTACAGGCTGAGCCACCGAGCCCAGCTGGCTTGATTTTTTTAGGTAGACCCACACTTTCTTCCTTTCTCCAAGGGTGACAAGGATGCAACTTGACACCTACAGGCGGCCTTCGTGGCCTCACGATGGGGAGCATGCACTTCTCCTGCTTGTGGGAACATAGGTCTTCCCATTGGCCTACCTTGCGAGTCATGCCCACTTCCAAACTTAAGGCCTACAGTGTTCAGGGGGATTTGGTGCCCCTACTGGTGGCACCTGGTAAAGCACTTACCCTAGAGGTGGAGACCAGAATGAGCCCCACCTGAATCACATTGGTCCGAAGTCAGGTAGGCTTGGTTACTAGAAACAGCAGATGACTTCTCTCTCATTCTTAATTGCTTTTATTTGCTGAAAATGCTTACGGAGAAGATTAGATATTTTACAAGCTCATGCCTTTAAATTTAAAAAAAGGGAAATAATGAATACCAATATGGACTGTGTGTGTAACAGGGCATTTGTGTAATTACTAGAGTGTATTTTATCCAAGTGGAAAGGGGCGGCCAGGATCGATAAAGCACAGAGATAACTTGGTCTTAACCGAGGCTTTCAGCCTGATCAACATTTTTGTCAGAGTTGATGATTATGGCGTAACATTGGTTGAACTTCCCTGTCTGACTTGGACTCAGAGCTGTCACCCTCTCAGCCTCCCCTACCTCAGTGTCACCACTTTCTTTTCCTGCTCTCCTTCCTTCCTGCTTCATTTTCCTCCATGGCCCAACCACCCAATCTGCTATTTAATTCACTTGGTGCTTCCGTTTATCATTTCCCTCTAAAAGGAAGAATCCAGTGTTCAGAATAGTCTATCATGTCCACTCTTCTTTTAACGAACCAAATGTTTGTGTATGTAATTTTCATTTTATTTAAATCTCCTTTTCAAATGAAAGGTCCCGCATTTGTAGATTAAGATATTTTAAACAGTTTTTTAAAAATTAGGGTGATTCTTCTGGCCTACAAATGCTAACCTCATTAGAATGTCTTCTATTTTGCTGCTAAATTGAGAGCGCAGACCTTTTGCACACGAAGCAACTGCCTAGGGCCTCTTTAACTGTTAGTCAGTTGCGCCTGCTGGCTCCTCAAATGAGGTGATGGATTCGAGGAGGAATTCGACTTGGGGATCTCACTTCTTAACATACACATGTGCTTTGCAGTTGATCAGTGAGTTATTTGTTTGGAGTGTTATTTAAAGTTAAGCAAAGAGGTTTCCATGCTCCCCCTTGTACCTTGGCCCACTAAATAGTTGCTTTTGTAGCTGCCTTTATTGAGCATATTAAATCAATTCTGCATAGCTGGCTTAGCATTGCAGTACTTCTGCTTAGGCTTCTGGCTGCTGTTTCCTGATGACTCGTGATGTTCCATACGTTATTCTGAAGGCCTGTGTATACTAGTGCATTTAGCCCTCTCAGAACCTCTGTGAGGTAGGAATCGTTATTCCCACTCACGGGTGAGGTCATTGAGGCAGAGAGAGGTTAAGTAGCGTGCACGTTATCACACGACTAATAAGGTGGAAAGCTGAAATTAGAATCCACCAGTCTGAATCCCTAGCTTTATGGCTTTATTTTGATTCTAAAATTACACAGAAAGCCATACAGTTGAGAGTAAAACTATCCAAACCTCTACCACCCTGCTGTTTCCATTGTTTACATTAGATGGTCATCCTTCAGATAGCTCTATGGGTGTTGAAAGTTTTATATCAATGGGATCATGGTTCCTTATAACCTGCTGTTTTCGGTTGATATGATGGTGTCGCTAAGGAGAGATTTCTTTGTGATCTAAACAGAGTATTTGACATTTACTCGCCAATTCTAATAGACTATTCAAGGAGTTGACTGCTTTCGAGGAAACCTGACACTTTGCTGAAATGAGTGTTGCAGTTTGTGGTTTGGTTCCTTTACCATCTCCAAGAAAGATAGCAGTGGAACATTTTGAGATGGTCATATTTCTTTTGTTTGTTTGTTTCTTTTGAGTTGGAGTCTCACTCTGTCGCCCAGGCTGTAGTGCAGTGACATGCTCACAGCCACCGCAGCCTGAACCTGCTGGGCTCAGGTGATCCTTCCACCTCCACCTTCCAAGTAGCTGGAACTACCAGTGCGCCCTACCATGCCCGGCTAATTTTTTGATTTATTGTAGAGACGAGGTCTTATCAAGTTGCCCAGGCTGGTCTCGAACCCCAGAGCTCAGGCCTCCCAAAGTGCTGGGATTACAGGCTTGAGCCACCGTGCCCGGCCTAGAGATGGCCATATTTCTAATTATTGTAATTGCTTTTTGCTAAAATTTGACTACTAGAGATTGTAGACGTCTGTGACTTTACTGATATACCTGTGTTTTTTAAGAACACTAGTGTTATGTATGCGAGGCATGACTGCACAGTAGTGATCTTCCTTTAAACCTCGGGGAGGAAGAGTCTAGTTTTGGAGAACAAATTCAAGTGCATCTGTGGAGCATGTAAGTGATACGTATGTGCCCTCTGTTGTCATCTGATCTCCCTAACCCTCGAAGAACTGATTGAGTTATCCTCGGGCTGTCCTTCTGGTGTCCCTCGGTGGAGTCTGCATCTCTCCAGTGATGGCAATTTTTCAATTGTTTTGGCAGCTTGTGGCTGGCTTTAATCATGCTTGTAATGATGTTGCCTAATGTTTGATCTAAAAATAAACTCCCTGCTGTTGCCTGTGCCTATTGCTGTTTGTTCTGTCTCATTAATTATCGGAGTCCAGTAAATCTTAGGACCCCTCTTTATCTTTGTAGAAATGTACTGCTGTTCTTTTAGTTTTTATAATTTCAAACAAACAGTTGCTTTGCATTTGTGATGTGGCAATAGAAAGACATAGATTTCTGTGTCCACCAAGCAGCTTGGTGCTTTGCGTGTGTTAATGACTCAGTATCTGTTTAGTTGTGGAATGATTGATCACACCAAGTTTTGCCTCACCTATACAACATTCTGGTTAATGCTCTACCTACTGCCCAGTACTAATTCTGTCTTATATTTGTGGCACAAAATTGTACTCTTGAAAAGTTATTTTTCTATCTGAGCACTGGAAATCTAAAAGGATCTTTCCCTTCCTTTCCTTCTTTGTATAATGCAGTGTTCTTTGTTTTCTCTCTCTTTCTCTCTTTCTTTTCTTTTCTTTTTTCAATAGGGTCTCACTCTGTTGCCCAGGCTAGAACACAGTGGTAAAATCATAGCTCACTGTAGCCTCGAACTTCTGGGCTAAAGGGATCCTTCTGCCTCAGCCTTCTGAGTAGCTAGGACTACTTATTTATTGTAGAGATGAGGTCTCGCCAAGTTGCCCAGGCCGGTCTCAAACCCACGGGCTCAGGCAATCCACTTGCCTTGGCCCCCCAAAGTGCTGGAATTACAGGCTGAGCCACTGAGCCCGGCTGGAAAATGGTTTCTAAAAATGAGCAAGGTGGATCAGGCTGGGTGACTCAACCTGTAATCCCAGCACTTTGGGAGGCCGAGGCGAGTGGATTACCTGAGCCTGTGGGTTCGAGACCGACCCGGGCAGCTTGGCCGAGACCAAGTTCAAAAAATTAGCCAGGTGTGGTAGCGCGCACCTGTAGTTCCAGCTACTTGGAAGGTTGAGGTGGAAGGATCAGTGGAGCTCAGCAGGTCAACGCTGGGGTGGCCATGAGTGTGCTACTGTACTCCAGCCTGGGCAGTGTAGTGAGACTCCAACTCAAAAAAAAAAAAAAAAAAAAAAAAGAGCCAGGTGAAGGGAAGCGGTGGTGGTGGGACTCCCTGTTTCCCTGTTTACTTTTTTCTTAGCAGGATGGTTCTTTCCCTCACCCCTCTGTCACCTGTTCTAGGCTCACTCAAACTCCAGCCTTTGAGCTTTTTGTCCTCATTCTCTGTCTGGTTTTCTTTGGAAACAGCTGAGTCATGCTTTGATCTTTTCTGGATAATCCATCCTGAAGTTTTAGTAGTTAGAAGTCTCATTAATTGAAAAATACTTTCGACTATGTTTGTTTCTGTGTGGACTGAAAAATGCTTTTGACTATGTTTGTTTCTGTGTGGTATGTGGAATATTACCAACCTCTTTTTTTTTAAAAAACAGCTTTATTGAGAGCTGATTTACATACCTTATAATTCACTCATTCAAAGTATGCGACATGGTGGGTTTTGTGTATTCAGAATTGTTCCATCATCATCACAATCAGTTTAGAACATTTTAAGAATCAGCCCAGAAAGAAATCCAGTTTTAGCAGTCACTCTCAAATTTCTTCAGCCCTAGGCTACTTTCTGTCTCTAGATTTACCTGATATGTACATTTCATGCAAATGGAATCATACAACTTGTGGTTTTTTGTGAGTGGCTTCTTTCACTTAGCATAATATTATCAAGGTTCATCCATGTTATGGCATGGATCAGTACTTTCCTTTTTATGGCTGAATAATATTCCATTTTATGAAAAGATATACCAC